CGAACCCCAAAACAATTATGCTGCTGCAGTCTGAACTAGCTGCAATTGCTTGGATCCACCTGGCTGGTGATGCAGTGAGAAGGGAACTGTAATAAGGACAACTTAAGATCAGGAAAGCCCATAGTCATTATAAGATAAAGGGCATACCTTTCACCAACAGCATAGTTGAAAGTCATGTTTTTGAGCCAGGCTTGACATGGACCTTTCCATGACTAGGTCGTGATAAAAAAGGCTGCCAAGATTTGTAGGTTGTAAGCCAGATTGCTAATGAGCTCATAAAGACATGAAGAACGGAGTTATCTTGTAGAAACCCATGCTTGTCCAACACTGTCCCCAATTTAGGGAAGACAAAGATGGCGCTCATTCTTCCAGATAAGCAACAATTAATCGTACAAAATGGTCCATATACAAAATGGTCTCTGTAAGTGAATTCCCACCCTGGGAACAGGATGGAAAGTAAGATTGACTCCACTTGGAAGATCACATGTTTAACAAATATTATTAGTATTTTAATAAGGATTTTAACAGATGTTGGAGTATCATGATTTTAAAATAAACTGCCCATTGGTTTCAAAACTTTAGTGAATAGATTTTTTTATGATTATTCCTCTACTCTATGCACAATATCATAGCAGACTTGATGAAAGTGCTATAAGGTGGATACATAACTGGTTTCATCATCAAGCTCAATGAGTAGTCCTCAATGGCTCAATGTCTACGTAGAAGGAGGTTTCACGTTGAGTTCTCCACAGGTCTGTCCTGGGTCCAGTATTGTTCAACATGTTCCTTAAAGATTTGGATGATGGGATTGAATGCGTACTTAGCAAATTTGCAGATGATACCAAGTTGGGTAGACTTGTAGACACCGTGGATGGTAGGACTAGGATCCAGAATGAAATGGATGGACTGGACAAATGGTTCACAGTAAACCAGATGGATTTCACTCAGGTGCAAATATGTGCACTTGGGCTGGAATAAGTATATACAAAAATACAGACTGGGGAACAACCATCTGGGTTGCAGGACTGCAGAGAGGAAACTAGGGGTTGCAGTAGACCATAAGCAGACTATGACCCAACACTTTGCTCTTGTTGCAAAAAACACCAACAGCATCCTGGGACATATTAACAGGAGTGTCTCTTACAGATCAAGGTGGGTGTTTCCTCCACTGTATTTGGCACTGGTGAGGCCTCAACAGGAGTACGGTGTCTGGTTTTGGGCCCCACACTGCAAGAAGCATGTGGACAGATTGGGAAGAGTCCAGCATAGAGGTTGGGGCCTGGGAGATGAGACTTGCAAGGAAATGCTGAAAGAACTAGAGTTACTTAGTCTGGAGAAGAAAAGTCTGAGGGGGGATTTCATAACACCTTTCAAATACATGAAAAGCAATTAGAGAGAGCATGAAGATGAGCTATTATTTGAGGCTATAGAGGATAGGACTAGGAGCAATGGCCTCAAGAGGTAGGAGAGGAAATTTTAGGTTGGAGATTAGCAGGGTCCTTCTGAGTATGAGGGTAGTTGAGCATTGGAGCAGGCTGCCTAGAGAAATGCGTGGAAGCTCTCTCCTTGGAAATGTTCAAGAGCAGGTTGTACAGAAACTTTGCTGCCGTGGTTTAGTCGGGGACGGTCATGCCTCGAGCAGGGGGTTGGTCTAGCTCACCCTGTGAGGTCCCCGCCAGCCTGCCTTTCCTTGATGGCAATGCAATTCTGAACAAAATATTGTCATATTGATGATCGATACAAGTCTTGAAAAATAATCTTATCCCCATATAGGAAAAAAAACAAACCCTCAATCAAATCCCGTAAAGTCATTACCCCTTTGTTTCATCCTATAAAAAATGAGGCATCTTAAAAATAAAATAAAAATCTAGCTCCATACAAAGCCTCAGAGATTCACTCAAAGATGCCATTCAATTATTTTACTCAGCAAGGGGTGAGGACTGAGAGAGGGGAAAGCTGCACGCAAGATTTAAGAGATTAGCTAGAAGCTTCTGTGAAGTCTGGATAGAAACAGGTCCGCTGTTATTCAGCCTTGTATGAGGTGCAGGAGCCCTTGGCAGCAGATATAGAAATGATGGTTTCTCTAGGTCAAGTGTTCTTAATTCCCGGGCTCTGCTGATGCTAGTCTGGGGTCCGGTGATTTAATTATCTCTTTTTCCCTGTGCCAAGGAGGGGTGATAGCTTTTGCTTTTCATCCTAAGGCACTGCAGCAAACAAAACCCCAGAGTTATGGAGTTGTGCCTGAGCTGTTTGCACATGATTTCCCACCACAGACCTATTCTATTTTTCCTTGGTTGTTTTTGAGGCACTTGTGCTCCTCAGAGCCATTTCCTGGCCCAGACTCCAGGATGCGTGAGGACTGTCACTGATACTGATCCTGGGCAGTGCCTGGGACTCGGGGTCTTTGGGCTCGGTGCAAAATAAGAAGGTGAGCCCTGTTCTGCAGCATTGACACTGCCTTTCCCAAGCTGGTGAATCAGTTTGGGGGTCTCCCAGCCCAATGGTGTTATGGGAAGAAACAGCCTTCCCTTGCTTGGTTGCTTCTTCCCAGGGGCCATGTGAGATTCGCCCTGCTGCCTCGCTGCTGCTCTCTGTGGCTGTAAGGACTAATTTTTCTCTGAATACCAGAAAATGCGGAGCCACCAAGTCACAGATGGAAGAGCCAGGGTTTGGAGAAGGGCAGCCCTCCTTTCTCCTTTCAGCTCTCTTGCATTGCTTCATTGAAACAGCGAGGCTGTTTTGATGCTGTTTTCACCGTTTTGCCAGACCATGGGGCTGGGAAAAGGAACTGGTGTGGGGGAGGGGAGGGTGGGCCAGGGGACCGACTTCCCATCCTCAACGCTATGGTTGAAACGTTTCGAAACGTTTCGACTAGCCTTGTTTTGTTTCCAGGCTATTTCGGCGGCTTTTGTTTCACTTCGATTTTGCTGTTTCGACCTCAAAATGAGTCGAAATATTGTTGAAACGAAACAGCCGTGGACATTTTGCACAGCCCTAATGACCACGCCGGGCACTGCCGGGTGCTATATTCCAGAGCTCCTCCTCGGGAAGTGTGTGCTTGTAATAGGCCTCAAGGGTAGAAAATTAAACAAAGCAATAGTCATATTATACGGGCCTTATCAGAGCCCTGGTAGACAGCAGAGTGCTCTCTGTGGCTGTAAGGACTAATTTTTCTCTGAATACCAGAAAATGCGGAGCCACCAAGTCACAGATGGAAGAGCCAGGGTTTGGAGAAGGGCAGCCCTCCTTTCTCCTTTCAGCTCTCTTGCATTGCTTCATTGAAACAGCGAGGCTGTTTTGATGCTGTTTTCACCGTTTTGCCAGACCATGGGGCTGGGAAAAGGAACTGGTGTGGGGGAGGGGAGGGTGGGCCAGGGGACCGACTTCCCATCCTCAACGCTATGGTTGAAACGTTTCGAAACGTTTCGACTAGCCTTGTTTTGTTTCCAGGCTATTTCGGCGGCTTTTGTTTCACTTCGATTTTGCTGTTTCGACCTCAAAATGAGTCGAAATATTGTTGAAACGAAACAGCCGTGGACATTTTGCACAGCCCTAATGACCACGCCGGGCACTGCCGGGTGCTATATTCCAGAGCTCCTCCTCGGGAAGTGTGTGCTTGTAATAGGCCTCAAGGGTAGAAAATTAAACAAAGCAATAGTCATATTATACGGGCCTTATCAGAGCCCTGGTAGACAGCAGAGGTTAACTTTGCATGGGCTGGGAGGACATGCACGTTTTGTAGACCTGCCGTGCTCTCCACCTGCTTGCTATTCCCCATGCTCCGGCTGCATTGCTATTCTGGGTTAGGAGACTCACTCTGACACCATTTTTGCAGTCCCACTTAAACCTCTTCTCATCCCTTTCATCTCTCAAGCTCTTTTCCAGAGAAATTAGTCATTCCTAGCCTTGGCACTGCACGCGTGCTAACCGTCTTCTGCTTTGAAGATGGGAGAACAAAAGCAGAGTTTCCCCCTCTTTGTTTTGGGGCTCTCTGGCAGAGCAAACCAATCCTGAAGCCGGAGTGCTTTGCTCTTCCTCTCTCCATTTCATGCCCACGGCTTGCACGTTCCCGGCCAGGTGCAATTCTGTGCGGTCTTGCTAATGTTGCTGATGCAATATTTATAATAACCTGCACAGCAAACAGCAGTGCTTTTGCTCCGAGTCCCAGCAGCTGTTGTTTCCCTTTCATTTTTTCCTCCCCTATCTGCTTGCTTCTGGCAAAAGTAGAATTGGAAAGAGATAGGAGACTTCCCTCCCTCTCTTTTTCTCTGTTTAAAATTGTGGGCTCACTCTTCATGGGGGTTCTTAACAGGGCCTCTAAGTTTGATCATTTTACATAAAACTAACTTGCTTTTTGCAAATATCCTAATCTGATGTATGCTAATGTTGACACGAGCAAAACTGCGAGCGCTGTCTATTTTAGGCACAAAATATGTCCTTGCATAAGACCACTCCTGCATTGATTATCTGGCCTTGTATTGCTGTTGCTGTTCAGTTTACTGGAGAGCCTCAGGCCCTTCAGTAATGATTCCTCTGATTAGTTTAATTTGTACTGAGGTGCAGGGATAACATTTCATTCAGATAAACGCAGGTCGTCAGAACCTGACTTTGCTCAGTTTGCACCTTTAGTTAATGATTGTAAATGAAAGTGCTATTGCTGATCTCATTGACACAATTTTGCCTTGGCAATGTCGCCAGCAACTCGCTGTTGTGCAATGGCAATGTCATGAAACTTTCTGTTTGTCACCAGTAAAATAGAGGGATGACAATGCTAAATAGGGTGCTAAACAGTCTACCTCCTAAATCTGCAGCGTGATTAAACTAGAAAACCTTTCTGTGGAACATGACGCCTTTTATGCTCTCCTTTTAGAGGGTGTTCGACATGGCTGATGATCGGATGGGGAAGCATTTGTTTTACACTTTAAGATCAAGCATAAAGCCTGTTACAGTTCCCGACCCATGGAGCAGAAGGCACCCTTCTTGTCGCTCATATATTGCAGGTAGTTCCAGGTCTACGAAGCTCGGCTGTGCTTGCTCCAGTTGTGCACCTGATGATCACGATGCCCATGTCTGTCTAAGGCATTGCTTATGGCTACCATCACAAGTCACGGCCTTACATACGTTCATCCTCAGCAACCCAGTAAGGTAGGACGGTGTCTTTATCCCCATTTTGCTGGCGTAGAATTGAGGCAGAGTAGGATTTGCCTGATGTCACCCAGGAAATCAGCGGTGGGGAATTTTTCCTGGATCTCTCTAGTCCCTGGAGCATCCTTCCTGCCGTCCTGAAGACTACTATAAAACTAATAAACTCTTTTGGGGAGAACCAGGTTATCCAAATTGGATCCAAACCATACTCTCTCTCTGCCTTGCAAGTCAAGTACATGATTTGGCTCCCTGTTGCATCACTGCACCAGCATCCATTCAGAAAGCTGACGGGCAAAACTCAGGATAACCCGAGAGAAGTACAAAAATAAAAAAGATCAACCAAGCAGATGATCAAAGCAGGAGTTGCTTAGTCCTGTGGTAAATAATCGCCGTTAAGTCTTTTGCATCTTTGATGCAAGGTTTTAAAGAGAGACAAAAAATGGTTAAAGTGTTGATATGCCGAACATTAACTCGGGCTTTAATTTTAACTTCTCTTCATCCACCACCCGTTAGCTGCAGATTTCCTGCAGGGAATCCCTCCCGCATGTGATGGGGGATTTTTTTGTAGACAGTCTTGATGATACTGCCTGTCCTTTTGGGGGACAAGTCAGGATACGCTGGAGGTGTCGGTTGTTGAGATCTGACTCCATTTTACGGCAGACAAAGCAATGTGGATGAGAGAAGAGCAGAAAAGGCAGCTTCTGCTTCTGATGCTGATCCTTGCAACTTCCATGCTTGAGTGGGATGGCCGTCGGTCTTGCCAGCCACTGGGCAGCTCAGCCAGGTGCAGGATCGCCGGAGAGCATTGCTTTTAGCTTCCACTTCGTGCAGAGGCTTGGAGCAGTCCTGCAAAGGACAGCTTCACCTGGCTCACCCAGGCCTTTTCCTTTGTCTCTCTTTTCCTTTTTTTAAGTCAAAAAGAAGGGAGAAAAGACAGGAAAGGAGACATGAGAGATGGATTGAGAGCAGGAATCCTAGGCTCAAATTTCAGGTCATATTTAGGACTATGCCTCTCCCCCAGGCTTTAACTATATTCTCTGTGTGCCCCTTTCCGGTTCACTTTGGACCTAGCTCTTGGAGGATCGGGGTGACAGTAGCAAAGATGACAGCCAACAACACTTAGGTCTGCCCCGTGCAAGGGCCATGCCAAAGAGCAGCCCAGCAAAATTCACTGTGCCTGTTATACCCCCAAATAGCTGTAATGTCACCGCTGAGCGTGTGTGCAGGGAGTGCCTGTGCCCAGTGCTGCACCGCGATGCCTCCATCGTATCTGTATCGGTGTCCGCGTCTGGGGCGCAGCGGTGCCACGCTGTGCTGAGATGCTCCCCAGCTCAGCCCTTTGAAGGACAGCTGGCACCCCTGGTACTAGCTGGTGAGAGTGCAGGGACAAATCCCTCTGATAACTTGCCTCTTGCTGAAAACGAAATCTTGGGCTTAGTGGTTGATGCTGCATCTGTTGGCTCCTCAATCAATGTGCTGTGTTGCAAAGCCATGCACTGAGAAATAAAAAAAACAAAACCCTTTAAATACAGGTAACATGGCCCAGACATGGTCTGGATCAATACTTTTCATCTGCCTGATCAAAGCTGGCTGATTTAGCTAGGCAATGTCTCAAAATAAAACCATTTCTGTAAGCTATTATGGCCATTGGTAATAGCCGAAGGAGCTTTTTATTGTAGCTTTGTGAAAACATCATTGGAGTAGATATCAATTCTTCATTTGCTTTTTGTTACCTTTTTTTTTACGGCGTCCTTTGCCTTATCTGGCTCTTTAAGTTGTTCCGACCAATCGGGCCGCGTTGTTGATGATGTTGTTCTCTAAAGCTGATAAAGCTTTCAGGGAAATGAAGTACTCTGGCGTCTTCCAGAAATGAAAAGAAGCAAAATAAAACCTTGCTTGACAGACTTAGTGCTTGAGCAGACTCGTTTCATTTTGTTTAGCAAGAGCCCGTTTCGAATTTCACGTCCAGGCAGCGGCCAGCTCTTTCCCAAGTACCTTCTCGTTTAGATTACAGTCTTGAAAGCGGTAAACACCACCTTTACTCTGCTTTACCCCAAATATGAGATTTCTGAGCTTTTCTTCCCCACCCCCAGGATTCCCTGAACACATCCTTCCTCTGAATTCCAGACAGCAGCATATTAAAAATTTATGGTTCGTGCTATTCTGTTGTAAAGCTGATCGCTATAATGACATTTATTCTAAGGCATCAGAGCTCCCTGGGTGCAGAGGAAAGGAAAAGTTGGAGAAGGATAAATTGCTGATGATGCTGGCTCAAAGCATCACTTTGAACCATGACAGGCAAAGACATGGTTTGTTTTACAATGAACATCATATATAATTTTAATTAGTTTAGAGACTATTGACCCATGGAAGAATCCCATTTTGTTAAGTGATTGGTTTCACTTACATTTATATATGGAATTGTTTGCTGAACCTGAATGTAAATGGCAGCTTAATGCTGCTAAAACTTTAATTCATTATTTCTACAATGCAGGAAGCAAAGTTTGAGAGTGTTTCAGTGAAGTCCAGCTCTGACCTTTAACCTTCTATGTAGTTAAACATTATATTTATATTTTGCTTTGCATATTTCCTGATCTTCCTTTTAATCTCTGGGCAGAGTTTGAAGTCTTACGGGTGTATGAAGCCTGCAGAAACTGAGCTCCACTCCAGCAGGCCTTAAAATGTCCCCCCTAGCAGGGCTCCTTCTTTGCGGTGTTAGCCTAGCTGGGGTGGGATGTGCAGTGTGGATGGTGGTTGGGTGGGAGGTGGAGCAGAGAGCCATGGGAGCTTTTTATCCCTATCAGAAGTGCTTATTGCTTGGCGACTTCCAAGTAGTAAACATTTGCTGGGATGACTGACAGCCTTTGCAGATTTTCCCCAGCCTGCTCTCTAAGGCTGACCCCTTGCTCGCTGCACCCACCTGCTTCTGCTTTGCCTTATCCCAGACGTGAGGCAGTGTATAGGCGTACAAGCGTTGTCTAGAGAGGGCCGGTCTCGCGTCTCTCTCGTGCATGATGCTTGCTCTAAACTGGCGACACCGCTTGACTTGTGGGCTCCGTGGTGCACACAGCGGGCGTGCGAGGGTGAGGCTAACTTCTCAGCAGCAGGCCATGGGCTCTGTCCATGCCATGCCTACATCCTGGATCTGTAACCAGCAGAAGTGGGATGGTTGAATGAGCTCTGTATTTGGCACTGGACAAAACTGGTGTCCATCCTGGTGTTGATACCAAGCATAGGGATGAACTAGAGAGGGTTCCAAGAAGACCTGCAGGAAGGGTTAAAGGATGGATAATTCATTACTGTGAGACTCTCTCATGGATCAAGCTACTTCGTGTATCAAGGGGAAGGAGAAAGGATGACCTGTAAAGTCTGGAAGTGTGACACTTTGGGCATCCATCTGTTCCACCCCTATGAATTCAGTTTGACTTGATGAACTGGCTGGCTGTCCATGCTCCTTGGGCATCTTTCACCATAGCATTTATCTTGTCTTGCATTTAGGGTGCAAATGCCCCTGAGTGTCTGCACCTTTGTGGGGAGGACACCGAGATGCTTTACCAGGGCAATGTCACAGCTGTAACAAGAGACAGACTCCTTCCCCATGGCAGAGCTGGTCTGGGCACTCTCCTCCCGGCTTCGCCTTGAAAGACCCAGGCTTAAGCTTCAGCCTTGTTAAAACCGTCCCATCCAACTTTGCAAACACCAGGTTCCAAGAAACTGGCAATTCAGAGAGAGATTTTCTTCGGAAAATTGCTGATCAGCTCCAGCCACGAAGTCCCCAGGGCTGAAACAAAAATACAGACAACCCCTGTGTGAAACTCCTTGTTGAAGGGTGCTTGTGAGAAGCTGAGGAGCAATGTTGGTGTTGAAATGGTGCAAGACAGCTGAGCTGTGCAACCTCCGATCCCCAGGAAAGAGTACCAGCATCGGAGCCTGAGCCACGGGGTGTTTTCGGTGGACAGCCAGTGTCAGGATGCTGCTCAGACTCTATAAATTTACAGGCATCTGGGATTCAGGAAGAACAGGTATGTGATATGATGGCTCTTAGATTTAGCGAACACGGGTACAAAAAGATCCAGTTGCTGGAAATGGATGTCGTGCATGGCCAAAACTAGGAAAAACTCACCGCTTTTTGATGGTGAGGGTAAATAACTATTGGGACAATTTGCTAAATGCTGCAGCAGACTCTGTCAGTGGAGACCTTTACATCGTTTCTAAAGGAGATGTTTTTGATCAAACAGGAATTGGTTTGGGGAAGTCCTCCTGGGCTATGCAGGAGCTCTCTCAGATGCCTGCAGGAGTCTCCTCTCGCTTGATTGAAGAATCGGTGCGTCCTACTCCCTTGCACCCTGTTAATCCTTCTCCCACCCCTCACCTGCCCTTCTTGTCCACTGCATCTCCTCCTATGCTCCCTGATGAGCCAAGGGAAGTGAGGACAGCAGCAATAAGTAACTTGGGAATAAGGTTTCTGGTTCTTCCCAAACCTCCTCCCCAGATGATTTTTTTTTTTCCTTAAAGAAAAGTAAACAAGAAATTAGACTTAACCTTAGCCACTCAATCAGCGCCTGCTGCTGCATAAGCAAATTATCTGCAGCCATGGTTACTAAAATCCTCTTACAAGAGTGTGCAGTGCATCCCTGGAAAAGAGACTTATAGAAATCAGCATGTTGTGATTCATCGTAAGGAAATAATGATCTTTAAGAGAATGTAGTATTGCAGCTGAGACCACGCCAGGGCACGACGCAGCGTTGCAGACCTGCCCTGTGTCCGACCCAGAAAGCGTCCGTCTCGCTTTGTTCCCATTGAAGTGTCGGAGGCTCTGTCTTTCATCTTGGGGGAGCAGGTGGTGGTCCTTCATCTTCCTTTGGGATCTAGTGCTGTCCAAATAATGCTCCTCTGTGCAAATATCTGATCATCCTCAGATGCTAATAGAGGAGTAAGCTCCTGCTGCCATTCTCCCAAGCAGCTGATCAGAATTTGGTGAGAAGTGA